TCAAAATACTACAAGCAGGCCTGCCAGATGAGCCATCAGTTCCACTCCTTGGTATTTTCCGAAGAATGCCAGAACACCCACTCCAAGGGACGCCTGCACGCCTGCTTATAGTAACCAACTTGCGGAGGCAGCCTGGTGCCTGGGGACAGATGGTGGACCCAGAGGTCACGGCGCATGAACGCTGGACTAGTACTCAGCTGTAAAGAGAGATGAAAGCTGTCACTTGCAGTAACATGGATGGATCTGGAGGCGGGTGATGCTAAGTGGAATACATCAGAAGAAGAAAGACAAATACTGGGTGATTCCACTGATACGTGGAATATAAAGAAATAAAGGAAATGCTGGAACTAAACCAAAACAAAGCCTAGAAATCTGAACGGCAGAATCAAGGCTATCAAAAGGGGCGACTAGGTAAGGGGAGAGGCCCAGGGAACAGTAGTGACCATCCGAGAGGCCATGGTGTGGAACCAGAGGGAGGTCAGGGGTCATGGTGCAGGCATGCCCATCAGGCACGGCCTGTGTATCACAACCAGGGTGTTGGCCAGGGTGGCAGTGACGGGGTGCGTGTGTGCGTGTGCCCACACGTGTAAGAATATCTGCCGTATGTCTTTCAAATGATAGTGTCTGTGGTCATATTTTATAATGAAAAAAACTTGTTGGCAAGCCTTGTCAGGAACTCCCTGTGGAAATATCAGTTGCTTTTCTTGGCTCCAAGGTATTTCCTGAGCAGTGTCCCAAGTGTGCCATTAAGGGATTTGAAAGTTTGTTAAAACATGTGTGGCAAGTAAGTGCTGTCGCTTAAGCCGGGCTGAAGAGCCAAGAACTGCAGACCGGCCCTCCGTGGCGTGGGGACCAGCCTCCGGCAGCCCACGCAGCAGCAAGCCCTGTGGATGGAGGAGGACGGAAACCTCTGGAAAAACTCCAGACCCAGGCTGACAGCACCCCACAGCCCCAGGGGAATGGAAGGGAATTTACTTGCCGGAACAGAATTTTCCAGGGCTAATAAAGACTTGCTCTTTTTATAAAATTTAACATAGCACTCTTCAAAGATGACTTTTATGCTCAAGGAAGTGTTTTTTTTTTCGGTATCAAAGAACAGGAAAACTGAAATGTTTCATTCTGGACTTCGGGTAACCAGCATGGATGGAACTGACTGGGCGTTTTACTTAGGCCCCACTTGGATTGTCTGGCTACAGAGTGTCTCACTTCCCCATTTCTGCAGTACCTTGTGTTAATTTTTAAAGGAAGGGGAAAATGGAGCCAAGCAGTTTCGAAGGCCCAGTTCCTTTTCTCGGTGCTGGTGTGAGTTGCCATTTGCGGTTGGTCTCATTTACGGCTCAGTGTGGATGGTCCCTTCCCGGTCCTGCTCCCGGCTTGGTGCCTCACAGGTCTGCCGGGATCAGCACGTGTCCCTGGAAACGGCTCCCATCCAGAGTCTGTCTCTCTGTGGGGGCGGCAAGCCTTTTCCTGTGAAAACTTTTTTTGTCTTAGGGGGAGCAGTTTATGGTTACATTGGAGTTAATACTCAAACTAGAGTTACAATTTGTATAGATGCAGAGGCCTAGAATTGAGAAAAATGCATTTATTTGTTTTCTAACTATTGGCTAGATTTATATTTGCTTCTTTAGGCGCTAAGTCAGCTGGACAAATTCACTGGTGCCCGTCCTGGGTCATGTTGTGTCAGTTAGACAATATGCCTCTGGCTGCTTAGATGTTTTACATATTTCTTGTAATTAAAAAAAAAAAAATGCTCCCCAACCCCCAGAGCTTCATGGTTGCAGCCTGACGGAGAAGGGGCATCACTGTCTGTCTCATCGTGCGGCGGGTGGCACTGCCCCGTGGCCCAGCCCCACGCCCTGAAGGAGGCAGCAGGCGGCTCCCTGTCTCTCCTTGCTGATGCGGCCTGTAGGCCTCGGCTCCCACGTTTCTGTGTGCGTGTGTGTGTGTGTGCGTGCCCACGCATGCATGTGTGCTTGGAGAGGGAGTGAAAATGAAATGCATGCAGTGTTGCCGTGTAATTTCTGGGGTGCTTTTAGTCGCTGCAAGTTTTTATTTCATGTCGGTCCCTTCCCATTTGACAGCTGCCTGTGTTTTCACAGTTTGCTTTTATTAGCAGCATTTATGTGATGCTTGCTCTAACCTACTCACAGGATAGCACTGGCAGTGAAAAAGGTCATTAGGCCCTCCCTGGTGGTGCAACGGGTCAGGATGCAGCACAGCAAGCTAGCTGCAGCTGCTTCAGCGCCTCTTCAATCCTCAGCCCCGGATCTCACCCACAGGGCGCGGCAGACCTCTCCTGACAGACCCGCCCGCTGCTGCCCTCAGCAGTGGACTTCGTCAGTCTGCCTATTCTGTTCCCCGCTCTGTCTCTGGTGAAGCCTCTCACCACCCTGCACCTCTGGCCTTTACCCAGTTCTGTATGCAGAAATAAATCTTAAAAAATAAAAAAGAAAGGAAAAAGGTCAATGAGTCGATTTCCTCACTAACCTGTGTATGTCCAGAAACTAGGCTAACTCTCTGGGAGAAAGTGCCCACTTGCAGCACGGGGGTGAGGTAGCCGCTCGTCTCGCTTCCCCGGGTCTCTGTGTCCCCATCAGGGGGCAGCGACACGTCCACCTCTCTCAGGAGCCTCCCAGCACCTGTTGGCCTGAGGCGGCCTTGTGTGGCCTTGTGCGGCCTTGCGTACCAGGCCTCCTGTGGGCAGGGGTTTCACTATCCAGCTGTACATGTGCGCTTGTCTTTTTTGCTTATATCTTACATCTTTCTTCCTTTTTGTACAATGCTTGCTTCCTCCTCTCAGGTGTAGTCCCTGCAAATTCCCACCACATTCACCCACATGCCATCGGCAGTGTCCCTTGTGTGAGAACACGTGCCCTCCCCTGTTTTGATCCTGTTCCCTCCCCCTTCCCTGCGGTGTCTCTGATTAATAGTTGCCTGTCAGTTTTTAAATGCATTGCAATTTCTTCCCCTGGCTCCTTGTTGGTCCCCTACATTCTTGCTATCAGTGAAACCATCTGATAGTTTTTTCCCTTCTGACTTACTTCACTGAGCATGATCCTTTCCAGTTCCCTCCATGTTGCTGTGAATGGCATGAGCTTATCTTTTTGATTGCTGAATAATATTCCATTGTGTAACATATCCCACATCATCTAGATGTGCATTTTTCTGTAAAAGAAAAATATATAAGCTTTCCTCTGATTCTCATGGGGATCTGCTAGACTCCAAAGTTGAAAAACTTTGATCGAGGCTTTTCTACTTCTTAACGACCAATCCCACAGAAGATTCCACTTATAAATTCAAGGAAGATTAGGGTACTAGTTTTTAATGTACTTTTTTTTTGTCTGGAAGATGTTCTGAAACGCTCTTGTATGTTGGTAGTCTTCTATATTCACCCTCTCCATTTTTCTACCCATTTACCCATCTATTCAGCCACTATTGAACTACATTGAGTGCAGGTTGCTATAGAATATATAAAGATGAGGACCTCCCTGGTGGTGCAGGGGTTGAAATTTCAGCACTATCAAGCTATTGCCAGCCACTGTGGCCTGAGTTTGGTCCCCGGCCAGGGCGTGACCCACCTGACGCGCAGACCCCTCCTGCCCCCCCCCTCTGTCCCCTCAGCAGGGGATTCAGTCCATCTGCCTCTTCTGCTCCCCACTCTGTCTCTGGGGAATCTTCTCACCAGCAGCCACCGGCCCCCAGCAGCCTGTACCCCAATTCTTGTATCCATAAATAAATTTTTTTTTTTTTTAAAGAACATAGAGATGGGAGGTATAAAGAACTTGAGCGTTCAGTCTTGGCAGCATAAGCCATGTACATGAATGACACCAGTACTGTGAGGGGACCAAGAAGTGCTGTGGAAGTGGCATTTTAGACAAGAGAGAAATTCCTCATGCCTGGGTCTGGAGGGTGGGGGTAGGAGCCAGGAAGACGGCGGGCGGGTCTGGGTTACAGGAAACCCAGGCCATTTGGATGAGGTCTTAAGAGAGCGCTAGGTGCCAGGTGTGTGGAGATGTTAGATGCTCTAGGCATCTGTGGGTCTTTCTCCATTCAGAAGAGACTTGAGAGCACACCACACACGGTATCAGGCCTTGCCATGATTACCTCATGGCATTACCAGTTTGTCAGGAAGAGAAACTTGGAACAAGTCATTTCCTAATGAATTGCCACATTCATTCCTTCCACATACATTTGAGTGGCTACTAAGTGCTTTTTGCTACTGTTAGAATTGGCACAAAAGGGTGTGATGTTCAGAGGAGCATCTAGAACCGACAAAATCTGCTGCTGTTTGTTTCGCTAATGTAATAGGGGAGCGGGCTGTCCTTTCCAGCCATTACACACTGCCCGGTGATTTGACTTGGGGCTCACAGACCTCAGAGCTCTGCCTGGGACTGTCACGAGACACTCAGAGGATGCGTATCTGGATTCCTTCTCTTCCTTGCTTCATTTTTCAGTGGCGATACAGGTGACCCATGAGATCGTGTAGCGCTTCCCTGCCCCGTGGGGTGAGGCCCGTCGGCTGTCCCTGCTGTTCTGACGACGGGCCTTGCGATGGAGAATTACGGGCTTACGCCTTTTCATGAGGACTTGTTCACGCTCCTTTCATTTTTTTCCATTTCGCTTCCATTCCTGTGGTTGGCTTGGGGGAGCAGAGACATGCCCTGTGCAGTCCCTCTTTCCCCCCACCGTCCTTGTCAAGCCTTTGTCATGAGCCCTGACGAAGCAGCTTGGCTCTTCTGGTGCCCAGGGCCTTCTGGGGGAGGGAGGAAAATGGCCATCAGGAAAATGGGCAGTGCCATCGCATTCTTCTCGGGCTTCTGGAGGCGCGGGGAGCCCGTGTCGCGCTGCGGGTGGGTCATCTCCAGATGGTGGGCTGCGCCTCGCACAGCGAGTCTGTATGCTGCCGCGGCCGGGAGCACTGTTGCTTCCTTAGGAGAAGAAAGTCTGGCCCTCCCCTCCCCCTGCCGGATTTAGCAGACTCTTCTGTCTGTCTGCTGCAGGTAATTAAGCCCGAGAACGGTGAGAGAGAGACAGAAGGCGCTGATGGATTAGACCTCCCCGAGGAGCTCCGCGGCGGCCCTCTCCCGCCCCGGCCCCCGAAGGGCGACAGCGACGGCCCTGATGTCATCCTGGAGGCACAGTTTGATGACAGCGACCTCCAAGATGGGCCCTGCCACACACAGCACGAGCTCGTTGACGGCGTCAAGAAGCTCGCGGTCTGCGGGCCCGACGAAGGTGAGTGCGGACCGCTCGCTGGCTGCTGCGCTGGGGGGTCGAGC